TGGTTGGATAATATCAACAGCAGGTAAGAAGGCAAGCAGCAAGATAAATGTCAAGTTAAAGGCATCATTGTCTCAGAATACGAGGATTCAATTTCATCAAACAAAATATGACACTAATAAATAGGGAATCTGGTTAACCTGAAATAACATCGTCAGTAGTCAATTATGAATGCAAAAGCTTGCTGGGATGACATGAAGGTACAAAATCACGATGATATCCACATGATTAAGAATCTATGCTCCAAAACACAAAAATCTCTAGGAAAGAAATTTTTCCTCACCTCCCAACATGCCTTAGGAATGTACTCTAAAAACTTCCAATTTTACCTCACCTCTAGAAAGGCAGCTGATTCTAGTAAATAATTACCAACTACATGATGCCCTTGGGGCTACTTTATGCATACCAACAATACCATTCCAGTTAGCTTTTAAGATAAGTCCATATATTCAACCTTTTCTACCTATATGAAAAAGAAAAAAAGGTTATTTGGGCTACATTTGAGCTCCTTCATTGAGTTGGAGTGTTATCCTGGTTAAACAAAGTTGTAGAGTAGATGGCTCATGATCATGCTTACAACTCCATTTTGATGCTTTCTTAAGAGAGAAATCATTGGAAGATGGACAGATTATACTTAGTCATATATACAAAGGATTATGGCCTTTGTTGAAAATAAAGTCATAATCATAAAATGAACAATGGCTCATACTTCAAAATAAAGGAATTTAAAAGCAATGCCATATGTACTCATTATGCAGAGTGCAAAGGGATGCTGACTATGATAGAGAAAATAGAAGTACATAATTGTTGGGATTGTATTACATACCAGCTTTGCATAGGTCATGGAACCAATAACATTCTTAATGACGGGCAAAGGAAGATAGTGACGGGATGTATCTGCAAGATATTAATTTCAGTCAAGAACACTTTAAAGGAAAGGACCTTATTAAGTCAAACAATCAGATTACCAGCCCAGTGCGCAGCCAATTCCAAAAACCAATATCATTGGAAAACTGGTCCCCCTATCCTGTAATCAACTTTATGCCGATCAACAGTTTAATTACTATTAACAAAACCCTTCACCATTCTGGCTGCTGAAGATGTAAAATGTTCAAAATTGGTACCAAAATAACATGCAAGTTAAGTTTTAAGGGCTAATTGCTAAAACAAATACACCCACTTAACTCCTTGATTGCTTCCTTATGACTCAAGTAGAAGTACAATTATGATAGTTACCAGAGAACAACAACTCACTGATTGTGCAATAATCATAATATTTTCCAAGGAAATCCATGTGACCAATCACTTAAAATGTCATAGAATGATAGAAGGGGAACATAAATAGCAGCTCACCAATTAAGAGGCCTCGATAAGAGAATCTTGGCTGATCAGTAATAGTCCAAGGTGACATATGAACTTCAATCACTCTGCTTTTATAGTTAAAATGGCATAACTGGCTGAATGTCTGCAATAATCAATAACAAAACTATGTTAGGAATTTTGAAAATTTTAATAATAACAAAATAAAGGAAAGCTTTATAAACTTAATGCACTAACCTGAAGCCCATGTAAAGCTCCATAAACTGTGTTTGCCTGCATTGTTTCACAATAAATTTGAGCTGACTCAATTTATAAATGAAGCAAACATAGATAGTATCCAGCCCATTGCCCCACGATGCATGTGAACACACCCATCAAGCACAACACAAACGTTGAAATCATGCATTTTGCTTTGAGGTCAGGTAACAGAGAACTAATGTCCATACATGAAACATG